AATACAAGAGGGGGTTCTAATCTGGGGGGGTAGGATGTGAGCCGTCTTGGAGGGTTCCATGGGGTTTGGGCTCAAGGCCGCCATTTCATGGCTGGTCTGGCGGGGGTCTGAAATGGCTCGTCTGGGAGGTTTGTAATACCCGCTCCTTTATTCTGACTCGGGGTTTACATGCCCTCCAGTCTGGATACCGAGGGGGGGGGGGGGTCCTATGGACCTGCGGTCCCATGGATGCGGGGCGCTCACGCAAGGCCGCCCCGTATCAGTGGGGCCCCGGCGAGACCCCCACCCAAGTGGGGTCCGAGCAGATGAGGCCGCAGGATCGCGCTGCATCGGAGATGCATTGGCAATGCATCGGCCACGTTGGCAGTGCACCAGCGCCGTCGGCATGGCGAAAAGAACGGGCTCCCCATTCCAACTCGAGCAGCGTCTGGCGATGCGGCACGATCATCCGGCCCCGTCTGCGTCGTCGCCAGTTGGGACGCCTATTATCCGCCACCGTGCCGCGAGGCGCAAGGACAGTGTTCGCCAGGCTCTCATGTGTTCTCTGTCTTGAGTCCTGCATTCTATTAGCAGAGCGGCGCTCTGCGAATTTGCCTCGAAGCATACGCATTCGCTGCTGCCCCCCTCATTAGCAGAGCGCTCCTCCGCTAGTTGGCCTGATGCAGGGTTCCCCATCCTACCCGGGCTCTAATTAGCAGAGCGCCGCTCAGCGAATTGGCCTCAGAGCATGTGCGCGTTCACTGCTTCTCCTCTCATAAGCAGAGCGCCGCTCTGCCAATTTAGCTCAGAACATGCGCACTCGCTGCTGATGCATTATTAGCCCGAGGGCCCCAGAACGGCCAAGAGGGACCCAAGAAGCGCCCGAGGGTCCGCGAGGCCTCCAAGACGGCCTAAGAGCGCTCCAAGACGCCCAGGATGGCCCCAAGACGGCCCAAGAGGCCCCACAGAAGCCTCAAGAGCCCTCCAAGAGGACCTCCATGAGGACCGCAACATGCAATAACCAAAGATTGTCCTTGTGTGTTCCATGTGTTTCGCGTTTTCGCGTTTTCGCGCTTCCGACGCATCAAGATGGCCGCAGAGGTCCCCAAGACCGCCCCAAGACGGCACAAGAGGCCCCCAAGCCCTGAGAGGCATCCCACGAGCCCCTCAAAATCATCCAAGAAGCTCCTGACCACGAAGCAGTTTCCAAGATCGTCGCAAGCACTCGTTCCTTCTGGCGGGTGGCCGAATTGCTTAAGCCACTTCGACAAATGTGTCGCTCTTGTTTTTTGTCTCTCTCTCTCTCTCTCTCTGTCTCTCTTTCTCTCTCTCTCTCTCTCTCTCTCTCTCTCTCTCTCTCTCTCTATATGCTCCTCTCTGTCTCCCTCTTTCTCCTTCTCCCCCATCATTATCCCGCACGGGAGGTGGCAGTAGAAGGCAGCTCAAAATTGCCACCCCGCCAGTACCTGACCCCGCAGCTCGCGCACGTCCACTGCGCGGAAGAAAAAGCCATGCCAAAGGTTGGCCATGGAGGCAATGAGCAACAGCACCCAGACAAATACGAGCCACGGGGAGAAGAGCAAAGCGCTCTCATCGTGCTCCTCAAAGCCGTAAATGCTTCGCACCGATAGCAAGAAGAGGTCGTTAAAGACGCACACCGACCGCATGCAGACGACGAGGACCCCGAAGGATAAAGGACAAAAGTCTACCACGCCCATTTGACCATCGTGGGTGACCACCATGCATGCCAGCTCAAAAACGCACCACAAGCGCGAGAAGTAGCGTTCACTCCAAAGCACGACCATGCGGCGGGACTGCTTGACAAAGCCACCCAACGATTGCACGCCAGCCATCTTCCGGGGCACGTCCACCTGCTGATGATGATGCTCCTGCTGATGATGCAGCTGATGATGATGATGGTGATGGTGGTGGTAGTGATGATGCTGATGGTGATGGTGATGGCGATGATGATGATGATGATGATGATGATGATGATGATGATGATGATGATGATGATGATGATGATGATGACGATGACGATGACGATGATGATGATGATGATGATGATGATGATGATGATGATGATGATGGTGGTGGTGGTGGTGGTGGTGGTAATGGTGATGATGCTGATGATGATGCTGATGATGATGGTGGAAGTGATGATGCTGATGATGATGATGCTGATGATGACGATGAAGATGAAGATGAAGATGGCGATGACGATGATGATGATGATCACGATGATGCTCACGATGATGATGATTATGATGATGGTGATGCCTATGATGATGATGATGGTGGTGGTGATGATGATGATGATGATGATGATGATGGTGATGATGATGGTGGTGATGATGATGAGGATAATGGTAATCATCGTACCCGAAAGGAGGGCAGTAGCTCAGGGGGAACACCGACCTGGAATCGACGATACATCGCCGATAGATCGGCGATGGGCAGCCTCCAGGAAGACCCCACGCTCCTGGGCAGGTGGGGGCACCCGGGCCCCGATCGGCGAGGCATGGGCGATCGGGAGTCGATGCTTCAAGTCCCTGGCGCCAGTCCTCTCCTGCCGTTGACCCAGAGCTGCCACACCATCATCACTGGAGGACAGCATAATGCCGACACCACTACATGCTCCTCGGACCCCTTCCGGGTGCGTTCTGACAAAGATTCTGGAACGTATCCGACCGTGGCGATGAGGGCCCCCAGGAAGCCCGGAAAGGCGAGAACGGGTGAGGAGCATCGGCATCGACAGATTTCTCTCCTCTGACATCACGCCACCTGGTGGATGCACACCTTGTCGAGGAAACACGTCTCGCCACCTCCCCACAGCCTCTCCCAGCCAGTGAGGAGGACCACGTAAAAGGTAACCTGGCCCACCCAGAAACAGGCCGCGCTCCGCGGCAGCCCGTTGCCGTCCCACGCGCTGTAGTGAGGCACGGGCCCCAGCACGGGTCCGGGCCGCCACCCCGCGAGCACGGCCAGAGGACCGAAAGACGGCACGAGCACGAGAGTTCTGACCCGCGCGGGCTTCCTTGTGGTGGGGCGCACACGGACATACTGGTACTGTGTGCCCGCCTTGGAGGCGTGCGTCCGACCCGAACATATATATGTATAGCATACCCACCTTGCTGTAGATTGTTTCCCGAGCGGTGTGGCCAGACAGCGCCCACCACGACGCATACGCTATAAGATTTCTCGGTGCGCGCGTCGCCCCTGGGGGGGCGACACACACACACACACAGCATTAGTGTGTTGGGGTGACGCCGATGGGGCGCTGGGACCCAAATCCCCACCGTCGGGGACGCACTGACCCAAGTCAAAGCAAGCCCGGGTCAGTTAGGCCTTACAGGATGATGCAAGATCCTGCAAGATCCTGCAAGATCCTGCAAGATCCTGCACCCGAACCCGGGTCAACGCCAAGGATCCTACAAGATCCTGGTGGATCCTGCACCCAAGCCCAGGTCAGTGCGCCCCTGGCCCTGCAGGATCCTGCAAGATCCGGCGCTCTGGATGACCCCCGATTTTATTGACCCCCGTCCCTTGAGCCCCGACACCGGCCCATCGCGGCGCCCCTGGTGCCTCCCCCAGCGCGCTCCGCGCACGGGCGGGAGGGGGACGGAGAAGCGGCCCTGTCGCGGCCCAAGAAGGCCGCGCGGACCTCCGAAGGCTTGTGCCCTTGTGCCGGCGTTTGCTCTCCGGATGGCGAGGAACACGAGCAGCGCCGCGGCGTTCGAGGCTACGACCTAGGGGAACGAAGAATGACATAAACATAAAAACTCGGAGGTCCGCGCGAATTTCTCGGATCCGCGCTGGGCCCCCCTCCCTGGCGCGGGCGCGCGCCAGGGGCGGCGCCGGAGGCGCAACCAGGGGGGTCCAGCGCCGATCCGAGAAATTCGCGCGGACCTCCGAATTTTCATGTTTGTGTCATTCTTCGTTCCCCGAGCTATGACCGCCCGCCGTACCCGGAAGAAGACGGCCAGCGTCAGGAATTTCTTCCAGCGCGGGCTCGACCAACTGTGGCTCACGAAGGCGTCGAGCATCGTGGTGACGGGCTTGGAGAACTGGTACAGCTCGTCTCCGCCCATGGCCTGGAAGGACTGCGTGTTCGCCGCCTCCTTGCTGCTAATAGCCACGCGCTGGTTTCTGAATAAATGGCCGAAACAATGTAGCATCTGGGCGACCCGAACACCCCGAAACAAATCAGGGAATTCCTCATCCCGCATCAAAATCATCTCTGAAAGGCGCCTACGGCCAATTGGCACCTTGACAACATCACCGCCCTCTGTCTGTTCCGCTTTGTTTGCCTCCTCTGTCTCTGCAGCCAATTCGTCGTCCTCCGTCTCAAACCTGACGACTTTTGGCAGCTGGTCCTCGAAGGGACATTTGGGAGGCTCGTTGTCGCCCTCGCTGCGGACCATGCTCTTGCCAACGCTTCTGGGTCCGCCACCGTGCCGTAGTCGCTGAGTGGAGTGTCCTCAAATCCTCATTGAGTTTAGTAGAAATTCTTCAAGGGGCCCAGGGCCTGGACTCGCAAGCGCTTCTGCGTGCTCTCGGGCGCTGCCGGGACCGCCCCGCGTTCCTTGTCTCTGGGCCCAGAGGGGGGAACCCGGAGAGGGGGGAGGGGAGAACCCGAACAGGCCCCACGAGCCCTCGTGCGCCAAGATGGCCCCCGAGACAGCCAAGATACCCCCACCAGGCTCCCAGGAGACGCCCAGGAGACCCCAGGAGGCCCAAAGAGGCCTCCGCGAGGCCTCTAAGAGGCCCCAAAGAGGCATCCCAAAAGGCGACCTCCACAGGCATCAAAGAGAACCATGACCCCAAACCCAGGCAAGGCGGCGGGATGGGCCGAAGACCACTAGATCTCGGGAAGGGCATCGCACTTCCAAGTTTCAGCAGAGAGCCATGCACCTGGGAAGACGACGCGACAGAGTCGACTACCTATCGCCAGCACCTGCGCGCAACCTACAATCCCTATCCGCCACCGTGCCCTGTGGCACGAAGTGGAGTGTCATCAGGTCCTTTGCTCAACCCCCGAGCCTGAGTCTGCAATCCGGAGGATTCCTTTAAGGGCCCAGACCTCAGATTCTCAAATCTCTTGGGGCTTGCGGCGTGCCCTATGAGGCGGGTCGAGTGTTCCAGCATGATTTGCTGGGAGCCAAGACAGGCTCAACACCGGCCAAGAGATCCCAAGAGGCAGCCCAGACGGTCCAAGGACGCCCCGAATCGCTACACGATCGGTCCAAGACGCTCAAGGTGGCTCCAAAATGGCTCAGAAGTCTTCGACCCGCCCCAAAGAAAACCCGCAAAAGCCTTCCCGAGAGGTCCTCAAAGACCAAAAATATTGACTGTCCATAGGTTTTGCCATGTTTTGGGGGTTCTCGACCGTTCGAGCTTCCGACGCTTTAAGGCGGCCCACGAGGCTCTAAGACTGTCCCAAGACGGCCCAAGAGGCCCTCAAGAGGGCCCCAAGACGGCCCGAGAAGGCCCCAAGACGGCCCGAAAAGAGCCCAAGGCAGCCGAAGAGAGCCCCAATACGGCCCCAAGAAGAAGCCAAGAGTGGGAGACCGAAACTGCAATTCGAGTATTCCTTCTAAAAAAAGAAGCCCCAAGAGGCTCCGAAGAGGCCCCCAAGACGCGCAAAACGGCCCCCAAGAGGACTCAAAACTGCCTCCACGAGGCCCCCGAGAGGCCTCTCGCGACATCCCAACGAGTATCCTACAGGCATACGACCCACAACCCAAGCACGGTGGCAGGATGGGCCGAAAGCCATCAGATATTGCATCCGCGTCCACCGCGCCAACTCTTGCCAAAATGGTTTGAGCCAACATCGGTTGAATCAAGACTGGTTCACAATCGTCATGACAGTGGTAAGACGGATGACGACGACGACAGTGCTGCTGTTATCGCTGATGCGGGAGGAACTGATGATGACGGTGGTGGCCTGATGACGATACTGGGTCTTGCCCGCCGACCCCCGCTTGCCGGGGGTGAGAAGGCGTACGAAATGATTGGCTGCCCCCCTCCCAGCTCGGCGACTCCAAAGGGTGTGGTTTGCAAAAGGTGTGGTTTGCGACCGGCACCCTGGGGAACATCCTGGGGGACACCTTGGGGGGCACGCGGGGACCTGGATAGAGCTCTCCAGCGCCCCGAGGAGGCCCGACGAGGACAGTGTCGTGCCCCCCAGGCCCCAACGGTGCCGATCGCAAACCACACCCCGGCGTAACCACACCCTCTGCAGTCGCCGACCAGCGTCCAAAATCTCGTTTGAAGGGGTGGTATCCGGGCTCCCTGGCGCACCCCTGGCATGTCCGGAGCTGCCAAGCCTGCCCTCCGTGGCCTCGAACACGTTCCAAGACGTTCCCGCATCGCCGAACGATTGGCCCAAGACACCTACGACGACTCCAAGATGCCCCAAGACGCCCTCGAGACGCCCCAAGATTGGCCCAAGAGCCTTCCCAAGAGGGCCCCGAGAGGCAAAAATCAATTGTTGTCCCTAGGTCTTCATTGTTTCTGGGATGATCGTCTTCTCGAGCTTCCAACGCTCCAAGACAGCCCAAGAGGCCCCATAGACCGCCCCACAAGAGGCCCCTACGAGAACCCCAGGAAGGCCCAAGAGGGTTCAAAGACGGCCCCAAGAGGGGGCCCACAACGGCCAAAGATCGCCGCAAGACGGCCCCAAGAGAGGCCAAGAGAGAGAACACGAACTGAAAATCTGATCTTCCCGCCCCAAGAGGCCCGCCGAAGGCCCCGAAAAGCCCCCAAGTGGCCTCAAAGAGGCCCCCAAGAAGCCCCAAGAGGCCCCCAAGAGGCCCAAAAGAGGCCCCAAAACGGCCCCCAAGACGCTTGAAAACTGCCTCGAAGAGCCTCCACCAGGCCCCCAAACAGCCAAGCAAGACGCCCATAAGAGTCCCCAGATAGTGCCCAAGAAGTTCATGACGCCTTAATCGTGGACTCCCAGCCTCTTCTGGGGGTCGGCGCAATGGCCTAAACCTCTTGAATGTTCTTCCGCGCCCACTGAGTTCATCAGGGACTTAACAGTCTTGGCGTTTGCCCGAGAAACTGCAGGTCCAGGCCCCTAGAATCTCCAAAGCTCGTCAAACAGGGGCCAGCGAGCTGGGCTCTAGCTGATGTGCACTGGGCACCTTAAAGATTGTCCTGCATGTTGCTCGTGGTTCTTGTTCCCTTCAAGCCACGATGGACCTGCATAGTGGAGCCTGTCGTGGATCCCCTCCAGGCATCCCCCCATCGCCCGCCCACCGCGCAGTGGCGAACATGCGCGGCAGCGCAACAGAATGCTGCGAGAGCTTCTAGAAACTTATCAATTCGGTCAGGATCAGGCGGGGATGTCAGTCTGTGGCGATTGTCGAGCTCACTGCGGCGAGTTCGGGTTCGTTTGTTCTTCCCGAGGGCTCTACTCAAATCTCTCTCACATATATATACACACATAGTTGGTGCGCGTCGAAGATTGCGCATCTGTGGGAGAAGTGCACGGGCGGTTGCAGAAGAACTTGCAATGGTATCAAAACCTTCACCGGTTGTGGAGGAATCTACGGAATCCAACGACGGTTTGCATGGGTCGAGCATTGCGCAGGAGGTGCGATATTGACCTTAGCCGAGAATGTCGCATTGTCAACGCTTTTGGTTCGGCGCTTATCGCCCGTTTTTCTTCATATGGTGTATGGAGCCGACTTTGAACCACTTCCCGTTCGAATTGAAAGGAAGACTCTGGCCAACGGAAAGCCCCCTCGAGGGGGTCAAAACACCCTGAACCAGCACAAACAGCCAATACCAAAGCAAACAACATCCCAAACAGTCAATCAACAAAAAAACGCCACAAGACAGCCAAGCTCACCCCTAAACGCCAAATAGGCCTCCAAGGCAGCCAAAAGGCTACCCAAAAAGGCTCCCAGGCTCAGGAATGGCCTCAAGACGGCCCCAGAGGCCCCCTAGACGGCACAAGAGGGTTCAAAACGGATGCGCAAGAGTCCCCATAGAGCAAACAACACATTGTTGTTCCTGTTTTCACCTGTTCTAACATCCTGGTCCCTTCTGGCTTCCGAAAATCCTAGACGGTCCAAAAGGTCCCCAACAGGGCTTCGGGAGGCTCCAAGACGGCCCAAGAGGCCTCGGCCCACAATGGCCCAAGATACCCCAAAAACAACTCAAGAGGCCCAAACGAAAGCGCCAACAGTTAGCCTGGCGAGAGACTCAACCATATACAGTTGTGCGTACCGCAGTTGTGAATATCTTCTTCGGTGGCACTCCCTATGGGGCCACGAAACGTGTGAGGGGTGTGCCGAAACGGGTGTGGGGGACGCATGCGGGCGGTGGCACTGGAGCCTTCGGTAGAGCCCCCTTTATGGGGTGGCGAAACGTGTGAGGGGCGTACCAAAATGGTGTGGAGGACGCAAGTGGAAGGTGGCACTGCGGCCTTCGGTGGAACTCCCTATGAGGTCACGAACCGTGTGAGGGGTGTGCCGACATGGGTGTGGGGGACGCATGTGGACGGGGGCGCTGGGGCCTTCGGTGGACATCCCTATGGAATGGGTGTGGGGGACGCATGCGGGTGGTGACATTGGGGCCTTCGGTGGAGCTCCCCATGGGGCCACGAAGCGCGTGAGGGGTGTGCCGAAAGGGGTGCGGGGGGCGCAGGTGGACGGTGGACGGTGGCACTGGGGCCTTCGGTGGAGCTCCCTATGGGGCGACGAAACGTGTGAGAGGTGTGCCGACATGGGTGTGGGGACCGCATGCGGGCAACCCCCAGTAGTGCCTTCGCTGGAGCTCCTTATGGGGCCACGAAACGTGTGAGGAGTGTGCCGACATGGGTGTGGGGACCGCATGCGGGCACCCCCACGAGGGCCTTCGATGAAGCCCCCTATAGGGGCCACGAAGCGTGTGAAGGGTGTGCCGACATGGGTGTGGGACCGCATGCGGGCATCCTCATTGAGGCCTTCGGTGGGGCTCCCTATGAGGCCACGAAGCGTGTGAAGGGTGTGCCGAAATGAAGTTAGGGACCGCATGCGGGCACCCCCACTAGGGCCTTCGGTGGAGTTCCTTCTGGGGCCACGAAACTTGTGAGCACCCCCACTAGGGCCTTCGGTGGAGCTCCTGATGGGGCCACGAAACGTGTGAGGAGTGCCGAAACGGGTGTGGGGACCGCGTGCGGGCAACCTCCAGTAGTGCCTTCGCTGGAGCTTCCTCTGGTGCCACGAAACGTGAGGGGTGTGCCGACATGGGCGTGGGGACCGCATACGGGCATCCTCATTAGGGGCTTCGGAGGAGCTCCTTATGGGGCCACGAAACGTGTGAGGGGTGTGCCAACATGGATGTGGGGACCGCATGCGGGCACTTCCATTATGGCCTTTGGTGGAGCTCCCTGTGTGACCACGAAGCGTGTGAGGGGTGTGCCAAAGCGAGGGGGGTGACGGGAGGAGGGAGGGGGGGAGGAGTAGAGGAGAAAAGGGGAAAAGGAGAACGCGGGGACCGTCTCTTCAAAACGAGGACCCAACACCTCAGGATGGTTGGGAACAAAGAAATCGAGCTGGCCGCGACGACCGAAACCCCCGAGGACGCCCCCGACAAGCCCAAGAGACCCCGAGGATGCCTCCCAGGAGTCCCTTTACAAACCACCAAAGGGCTCCCAAACGGACTTCAAAAAGCCCCCGGACAGCCCTCAAGGGGCCCCAGAAAAGCTCCCACAAGCGCGTGAAACTCACCCTCTTTCGCGCTGCGCTTTTGCACTGGCGCGGTGGCGGGGCTCGCCGCGGGCAGCTGAACACGCAGTAGCCATTATCACTGGCCTGCCTTTCCACTACCTGCCTGACAATGCTAGTGATTCCTCGGTTATGCTCGGAGACGAAGGAGGTTGGCACTTGAAAAATTCCCTCAGCAGCATCTGTGCTAACACGATGAAGGAATTCAACCCAACCACGATGCAGAGAGTACATAGGTCACTGCTTTCATCAAACAGCAAAGGAAGCAAGGACGCAGCCGCCCCCAGCACTTGCACCAAGACTTTGGCCATGTGAACGTACATGTTTGCCTTTGGTTTGTGGAGCAACTTGGTGACCGACAAAAGACACCATGTCAAGCAAGAGGCGGAGCACACGAGCCTCTGCGCAAAGATGTCTTGTGATGAATTGCCATACGTACCTGCTGATGTAATCAATAATGGCAAGCTAGCGCCGGTCATACACAATCCAAAAAGAGTGAAAGGGTAAAGGTTGACGAATATAACTGCGCTCCACTTAGCCCTGTGCACGGCGTGGTGGTCAAAATCAACCGACTCTACATCGAAGAAGCCAATTTTCAAAACGATCGCAAGGAGGGCCGCCAACAGATCACCCATGAAAACGAGTGTCGGGTGCACATGCGCGCCAGGATATATTGCAGCTGGCACAATTAAGGCCACACCAAGTACCTCGATAAAGAGCCCATCAAAGCGTGAGACGATGTAGTCAATGCTCGTGTGCACGTTAAAACTGTCAAAACAAGAACTCAGACCGATGACCGTCCAATCCGCCAGAACAGACAACCCGATACATAGCAGAAGAAACCACCTCGAGCTGCCAAACTTGTGGAGATGGACACAGTCCAGTATTAGTATGATGGCCATGCACATGTAAACCATCGCAAAATCTGCTGGCCCAGCGGGCCAGAGGCGTGCCAAAATCTCCAGTGGGAGCTCCACAATAGTTCAATGCCTCGCACGCAGGATGGCGCTCCAAGACGGCAGGGGGTGGCCTCGGGAAGACTTCTGGGTCCCAAGGCGGCCCAAGATCGCTCCAAGACAGCCCAAGATCGCTCAAGCAGCAAAGAGGCCCCAAGGTGCGCTCCAAGAGGACACCTGAAAAGGCTACAAGAGGGACAGCTTCGTGCCTTTTCGGGCGTCCGTCGGTTCAAGACGGCCCAGAGACCTTCAAGATGGCCCCAAGATGGCAAGCAACAGGGGGCACGAAACTGAAGCAGGAGGCCTCCAAGAGCCCCACAAGGTCGCCCAAAGTCAGCCCAAGAGGCTCCCTGGACGGCCACAGGGCGGCCCAAGATGACCCCAAGACGGCCCAAGAGGCCACCCCCGAGGGCTCCAGAAACCCGCACGAGGGCCCCACGAGGGGGGAATCCACACTGACATGCCGAGCCTTCCCCGAACCATGCCCCCCGAGACCACCAGCAGGCTCCAAAGAGGCCCCGCGGAGACCCCAGAGACTCAAAAGAATGCCCCAAGAGGCCTCAGGAGGTCTCGACAAGCCGCCAAGGGGCGTCCGAGACACCTCCCGAGAGACACCAAGAAGCTCATTGAAGAGGCGTCTTGTCCAAGATCCCGCTTGGCCCCAAGAATGCCAAGAAGCAATCGAGATGCCCCCGCCTCCTCCTCTCCTCCTCTCCTCCTCCTCCTCTCCTCCTCCTAGGATCCGCAGGCTTCGCACCATGGGACATGTCGTACAAGCCCAGCATGCCCCAAAAGAGAGAGGGGGGGACCCCGCGCCTTGGTGGCGACTGCGGCTCCTCTCCTCCTCATCATCATAATGGTCCGCATGTTCGCTCCCCACGAGCAAACCAACAGCAACAGTGATACAATAATATGGGCAGGCGGAATAAGCGAAGCGATCAAATCAGCCGACCCTTCGACATGTGTGAGACGCTGTCGTCATCGTCGTCGCCGCCGTCGTCGTCGTCGCCAGTCCCACAGAAGGTAAGGAACGAATCAGGAAAACAAACATCGTAATTGAGTCAATCCCCTTCCCTGTATCCCTTCTCTGACTGGGGAGGGGGGAGCGCGGGGGGAACGGGGGGGGGCCCGGGTCGGATTACAGCCCGCGATTTCCCCCCCCGTGGACCGTGGGGGGACAGGCCCGCCCCGCCAGGAGTCCCCCCCTGCGGATATAGATAGGGAGGACCAGGGGTGGTCCCCCCTGCGGACAGGGTGCACTCGATGGTTTCCCCCCCTTCCCCTCCGCCTCCTCCTCCTCCTCCTCCTCCTCCTCCTCCTCCTCCTCCTCCTCCTCCTCCTCCTCCTCCTCCTCCTCCTCCTCCTCCTCCTCCTCCTCCTCCTCCTCCTCCTCCTCCTCCTCCTCCTCCTCCTCCTCCTCCTCCTCCTCCTCCTCCTCCTCCTCCCCCATCCCCCTCCCCCTCCTCCCCCTTCTCCTCCTCCTCTCCTCCTCCTCCTCCTCCTCCTCCTCCTCCTCCTCCTCCTCCTCCTCCTCCTCCTCCTGCCACGACCCCAGCACCCGTCCACCTTTAGGACGGGTGTCCACTGGCGTCAGGCGTGTGAGGATAGTCCATGCGCGCCAAGCCGAGAAAGTTAACCACAATGCTCTCAAAAACCCTCACTCCGCGGGTGTGTGTCCATCAGGTTTTTCCCTCGGCGCCCGGGCGGGGGGCGACAGCCCGCCTGGGCGCCGGCGACAGGACACACCCCGAAAAAAACTGCCCGGGGGAGGGAAGAGGGAGGAGGGGGCAGGGGGGAACCGGAAGACGGAGGAGACGGACGCGCGGCGGGGAGGTGTGAGCCACCAGACCCCCCCCCCTTAGGCGCTCGCACGCCCGCCGGAGGCAAGGGGCGGGGGAGAAGAGGGGAAGGGAAGGGGAGGGGGGAACAAAAAAAGGCGCGGTGGCACTGCAGTCAGGCGGGGCCCCGGCGAAGGGAGAGCGGAGAGGAGGGAGGAAGACGAGCGGGCGCAGGAGCGGGGAAGGTAAGAAGAGGTAAAGTAAAGTAGAAACAACGGCATAAGGTTGGAGCCGCACTGCCGGCGCCCTGCCCGCGCGCTCAGCGAAGGCCGGCGGCTCTCCGGCGCTGCAGGGCCAGCTGCGTCTGGACGACGCAGCTGACCACCTTGTAGGCGCGGATGAGTTCCGCGGCCTTCGCCTGGCGCACCAGCCACTGGCGGGCCTCGCCCCCCAGGCGGCCCGGCGCCTCCACCGCGAAGGGCGTGAGGCGGTCGCCTGGGTAGCGCGCGTGCTTCTCGCGCTCGGCTGCGCGAGCGGCCTCGCCTGGCCTGCGGGCGGCCCCGGCCACGACGTGCTCTGCCGCCCGGTGACGCACGGTCACGTCAAGCCAATGCCGCCCCGCGCCCTCGAAGTATTCTATGTCCAGGATGGCGCGCCCCTGAAGGTCGGCGTCTGGCGGGTCGGTTTGCCGCCGCTCCCGCTGGCGGTCCCACGTGGGAACTATTTGCTCCTGCAAGGGGTCGTGGTGGAGCCACCGCTTGATGAGGCCGGCCACGGAATCCTCGAGCCTCCCGTGGAGCACCACCACTCCGCCCCCGTGGGCACAGATGGCGGCGCGCGTGCCCCGGCCGCCCAGTGGAGCCGAGCAGGGGGCCGCCGCCGCGCCGGCCCCGCGGCTATTCTGGCACGCGTCGGCGGCCACGGCCAGTTCTGCCCACGAGCACTCGGGCCTTCGCACCAGCGCCCGCGCTCGGAGCGCCGACGACCAGAGCTCGTCCTCCATGGTGCACGCCGGGTCGCTCGGGCACAGCAGAAAGGCAGCCGCGCCTGGGCCTCCAGCGCCCAGCAGCAGAGCTCTCTCGTGAACCGGCAAGCGCTGCCCCAAGGCCACGCGGGTGTTCTGTTGCACAAGGTTCACGAGTTATTGCTCTGCTTAACCTGACTCTGGAGAGCCTCAAGGAGAGAAGCCCCGGGGGCTGGTTCAACTCCGCGCCGCCGCAGCTCAGCCCGCACCCTGGCAAGCGTCTGCTCCAGGTCAGGCACTGCCTCGAGCAGCTCGCTCGCGGTCGCCCCTGCGTCGCTGGCGACCCGTTCCAGGGCGAAAGCCCAGCCGGCCCAGAAGGCGGCTGCCCGGCGGTCGGACGCCCACTGCACTCCGGCCCCGCCCTCCTTACGCGAAATGCCGATGACCTCCCGGTTCAACGGGTCGAGGTCCCTGCCTGCCAAGTCTCCCCAGCAGCTGGCCAGCGCGTCGTCGCAGCGTTGCGTCTCTGGGTCGGTCGCCAGGGTTGCCCGTAAGGCGTGCTGGCCAGCGGCCCCGGCGTAGGTGCCGAAGAAGCTACCAGCTGCCTGCCTCCGCAAACCGTGCCTCGTGAGCGGCCGGAGAGCCTGCCAGAGGGCGCCGAGCCGGTCCGTGACTGCGCCGAGGCCGCCTTCCTGCTGGCCGAAGAGGAAGGGGGCGCCCCCCTGGTCCCCGCGCGCCCTCAAATGCGAGCCCAGGACTGGCAGCGCTGCCACGTAGTGAGGGCGCAGCCCGTCTGGGAGCCCCCCCGCGCCGGCAGGGACCCACACCAAGGTCTTGGTTGGGTTGAGCTCCAGGCCGTAGGGAGCCAGCGGTTGTTCCAGGAGGAGGAGCGCCTGCGCGGCCAGCGCCACCGGGACCACGAGGTAAGCATCGTCCAGCAGAATAGGCTTGCTTAGCCCGGTCGTCGTACTAGTAGGCCTCCTGCCTCCTACTAGTACGACCGCGGGGCGTACTAGTAGCCGTACGTAGCTGTACTCGTACGCTCGGCCGTGCACGCCGCAGTCGTACTAGTAGCCGTACGTAGCCGTACTCGCACGCTCGGCCGTGCACGCCGCAGTCGTACTAGTAGCCGTACGTAGCCGTACGCGCACGCTCGGCCGTGCACGCCGCAGTCGTACTAGTAGCCGTACGTAGCCGTACTCGTACGCCCCGCCCCGCACACAGCCGTCGTTTTAGTAGGCCTACGTAGCCGCACTAGTACGACCGCCCCTGCACTCCGCCGTCGTACTAGTAGGCCTACGTAGCCGTACTAGTACGCCCGCTCCGGTCGTTTTAGTACGCGTACGTGGCCCTACGTAGCCGAACCCGTACGCCCGCTCCACTCGTACTAGCACGCGTACGTCGGCCATGTGGAGGATTTTCGGCGAGGCCTCCGCACCCGCTTCACAATGGCGGAATTTCTTTGACCGGCCCCCGGTCCGGTCCTCGGCCCCCCGTCCCCTTCTGGCCTCTTCAATCGTGGACATGGGGAAGGAATGAGCCGGGAGCTTCGTGCGCGCGTAACTCGAGAGACTTGCGAGGAAGTGTGACGCGGGAGTCCCTCTGCATAACCCTTCCCCTCCCTATGCGGCCCGGGAGTCCTGTCTGTGAACGACTTGGACCTAGCCGCGTCTGAGCTGGTCTTCAGCGCATTTGTTACCGCCACGGGCCTGCGTGCCCGACAGGGTGACTGAGGAGCTGACGACGACGACGACGACGACGACGACGACGACGACGACGAGACAGCGGCCGGGCGCAGGGGTAACCTCTTGTGTCCGGGCCGGAGGTGGTAACCCATCCTCGGCCGAATCGGAGGCAGGGGTAACCCCTTGCCTCCGGGCCGCCGGTGGTAACCCATCGGCGGCCGAATCGGGCGCAGGGGTCATCCTTTGCGTCCGGGCTGGGGGTGGTAACCCATCCTCGGCCGAATCGGGGGCAGGGGTAACCCCGTGTCTCCAGGCCGCCGGTGGTAACCCATCGTCAGCCGAATCGGGCGCAGGGGGGAACCCTTGCGTCCGGGCCAGGGGTGGTGACCCATCCTCGGCCGAATCGGAGGCAGGGGTAACCCCTTGCCTCCGGGCCGCCGGTGGTAACCCATCGGCGGCCGAATCGGGCGCAGGGGTAATCCTTTGCGTCCGGGCTGGGGGTGGTAACCCATCCTCGGCCGAATCGGGGCCATGGGTAACCC